TTACTGCTTCTGCTGCTCCTGCTGGGAGTGGAGCCGGCTGAGATCAGGCATCCTCAGAGGAAAGCTGCCTTTTAAGCCACCGTGAAAGGCTCGACACCTTTCTGTTTCTCTTCACACGCGGAAAAGCTGTGCCATTCTGCGCCTCTGACAGCGCTGGCTGCCAGCTAATAGCTAGAATCAGCACCACGTTCTGCAGAATACACACTTGCCTTTATTGTGATCCTTTAATAATTCTGCCAATCTTTTGCTTTTTGTCTGCAGAATCAAGTTGCTATTGTAAAGACCCACTGCTTGAAACTTCCCCAAGCCCAGTTGCCAGACTCATGATGCTGCAAAAACGTCAATACATACTGCCACCAAACTGCTCAGCTCTGCATTTCAGTGTAATGACTCTGGCAGAGATGCTGTTCCAATAGTCATGCAGATCAGTTGCAAAAAAAAAAAAAAAAGGAACAAACAAAAAAAAAAGGGCAGCCTCGAATCAAGGTCTATAATTCATCTGGACTGAAGAAAAAGTTTGAGAGTAATCTCCATTTATTTTGCAGGCTTAACTTCTTAATTTGTTCTCCGGCCGGTTGTAGGGGTGTGCACAAGAGCACAGTTGTCTCTGTCTGTGTTGGTAGGATAGTTGAACTTCTGCACACCTGTAATTTCTTTCTTTCAGTGGAAAGAGTTGCTCCCTTCACTTATGAGGCCAAGAGGAGAAAACAAAGCAGCGTTTAAAATAGGAGCATTGCAGTAAATTCTGTAAATGACTCCTTCAGCTGAACACGTGTGAGAAGTGACAGTGTGCAAAAGTTGTATTTGTATTTCAAAACAATAGCAAATGCAAATGCTGTAGAAACAAGAGCTGTAGACCTGTTCAACTGCACTGCATATCTATAGTCTGTCTTCATAGTTGCCTTTATAAAGTAAATACTTCTTGCTTCTACTCCATAACTCTAGAGCAGAAAACAAGAAGTCTAATGACCTTTCCATGAACCAGCTGGGAATAGAAGTAGCAGTTTGATGTTGTAACCATGTGTCCCATTTTGTGTCAGTTGCACACCCTTACCGCATGAACCACTGCGAAATTTAGAATTCTCTAAGTAATTACGTTATTGAGTGTATTTTGTAAAGAAGTGAAGCAGTTTGCTCTTTCAGAAGAGCTATATCACCTGCAAAAAAAAATACCCATGAATCATGAATGAACTGATGTTAGTGAAATTACTCTCCTCCCTACTTCCCCCTGTTTTTTTTTTCTTATTTTTTTTCCTCCTCCCCCATGGTCAGACCTTAAGATAGGTCTACACTTATTCAGCAGTCAAAGTTTCAAGATATGGTCCACCTGCTGTGATAGAACTGCATTGATTGTTTCTCCTTTGTGTAAATGAAAATGAGCGTAAACAATAAAATGCTTTACTGTGTTCTCAAGAGTGTTTCGTAGCAATTGTGTGACTGAAAGGAGTATTTATTGGTTTACCTGGTTTCTCAATATTGACTTTTTAGGTAACGCTGATTTGATGAGTCACTCAAGAAAGGAATTGATGAAGGCTGAAATTGCAAGCTTCCATCAGTGGTCAAATTTCTAACAGGCAGCTTTGCTTTCATACTAACCAGGACTGTTATGCATAATTCTTACCATTTTCACTTAATCCCAGAGTAAATTTTAGGTGGGTTTTTCTACAATTTTTAAATTTTTTTTTTTACTCCATGAAAAGCAAACAAAACTTATTTTAGCACTCTGTGGATACTGTGGTCAATGTTCTTTTAAAACTGTATGTATTTAATCTAGATCAGGGTGTCACAAACCCTGGAGAAATTTTATATTATTTATCTACCTGTTATTCTTCAGGAAGTCATTCAAAAATGTAAAGAAAGAACCCGAACCTCTCTGCCTCTGAAGCTCCCATTAACTGTAAAGAGGAAGATGTGGTCATGGGCAGGAAAGAGGTCTGCAAGATACAAATAAAAGTACTGGAAAATGAACATTTTCAGTAATTTGAAGAGATGGAGAAGAAGAAGACTTGCCTCAAAATGGCATACCTCTAGAAAAGGAGAACTACTATACTTCTAGAAAGTACCCTCTTAAATTATTAAAGACAAATGTGATGAGAAGAATCTTCTAAAACACTAGCTTATTTGATTGAAATGCTTATATTCCTTTAAAATTATTCTTTTTTTCATAGATGGGGTGAAAAAAACCCAGGGAAGATAGCATCAAGCAATGCTTAACCTATTGTTTGTCATTTTACAATCTTGTAGAATCAATTTTATTTGCCTCAAATTCTCAGTGAAGTCAATAGGCTTCTTATATATCTAAGAAATGGAAACTGAGACTGTAAAACTAATATATTGGCATTTCCAGAGAGAGTTGAGTTGTCTTCTGTTAGTTTTACAAAATTATGTGACTTGGAGATCACAAGGTACAGGAGTGGGACCTTCCTGGGCCTCACACTGCTGGGTAGACCTTCATCTTCAGCATCTGGCAGCAGATACTCCCAGCTCTCTGTTGTTATGTGAGGATTTTGCTGAAAAGTGGCTTAGCTAATTCATGCGGAAATTATCCTCCCAAGTTTATGCTGAGGCTCTGTATTTTCTGCACAAAGAAATACATCAGATAACTGCACTCACTCTTGGGAGGATGGTGTGAAAGCTGTGCTGAGTGACTTGGAGCCAGGAGACAAGCAGTTAATGGAAGCCTTGCTGAGCTACCTGCTTGTTCAAGGCCTTGTGATAGGTGAGCAGCCTCAGCAAACTGCTTCTGCAGGGAGATAGGTAGAGTGAGGACATGCATCTGTTTACAGTGAAAGAGAAGAAATGTAGGGCAAACAGCACTGGGAAATATAATTACGTAAAGCATGTTCCAAGATTCGCACAGTGTGTTTTAGGACAGGAAGGAGTAGCCCATGTGAGCCATTAACTTCTTTTTGACTGGTGGAGCGTGTCCTGGCTGCACCTAGAGTTTAAAAGATTTTAGGGTTCAGCGTTGTGGTGGTTAAGTTTTGACACTCTCTAGAGAAGCCTGGGGATGTTGCCCTCCCTCTTCTCCATTCCCTGGCTGTGCATGGTCACTTGCACTCTGCCTCTGAAAGGATGGCACATCTGGAATTTTCAGTGGAGACACTGTCCTTTCTGTTCTTCCCATGGAAGGAGCTCAGAGGACCCTGCCTCTTGGTGTTACTTTGTCTTGGGAACCTTTCATGACTCTGCAGATAAACTCCAAAGATGCTTAAGCCCATGCTGTTTCAATTGTTCATTGCAGAAGCAGCAAGGCTTCCTCTTACCTACTTATTTGTTACATTGGGATAAAACATTTTCAAATGACGCATTTGAGACAATTTCTGCTGGGCGTGGAGGTGAAGTTGATCACACATTTGCAAACCTCATGCTTCCCACGTTCCATGGTAAGGGATATGTACACGATGGTGTTGCTGGCCGCAAGTGCTATGAGACATAATGGCTGTTCAAGAGTAACAGCAGTTGTGGGAGCAGTTGTTTGCAGCCTCATAGTTGCTGTTTTCCCAATATTCCTAATTTTGCCTTGAGGCTCATTTGTCATTCTTCCAACTAATGAAACACGGATGCAGACTATAGAAATTGAGAGAGGAAATCCCTCACCATGAGCCTTCACACAGCTGTGCAGCAGCCTACCTCTTCTGCATGCATAAGAAAAGGAAAATGCCTTGGATAACATGCCAAGGCTCTATGGGACAAAAGGGATTGCAGCTAATTCTCTGGATATTTATACTACATTCTCTACCACAGCGTTTGAGGAAGCTGGCCTGGCCTTCATCCTCCAGCAAGGCCATGTAGAGTACGGATGACAGTTAATAGCCCATTTGGAGCAGCCAATTTCCACCCTCCTCTGCTCCTTCCTGCAAAAAGCCATTAGCAGACCACTGCCATGGCTTTTCAAATCACAGTTGCTGCTCCCATGCTCTCTTGATCAGAAAGGACTGGATATTGTCAGAATTAAGCACTTCTACCTTAAAATCCAGATTAGTCTAAAGCTATTCTTCCAGGGAATGAAGTGGAAAAACCCCACAGTACTAGTAACACTGAAGAACAAGTGTTGTGATTTGCAGCAATAAA